GGGTTTTAAAATAATTTTAAATTACTTAGGCCAATTGTTAATATTTGTCTTTTAATTATGTTTTAACTGTAGTATTTGGTATTTTGTAGTTGTTTTTATCTGGCTGTTAGCCGCCCTGAGTCCGCAAGGAGAAGGGCGGGATATAAATATAATAAACATAAACAACATAAACATAAACATTTTATTGTTAACCCTGTGATTGGCTCTGGGAAGCAAGGGGGGAGGGAGGGGGGAGTGGAAGGGTGGGTCTGGGGAAGGGGGGGATTTATATTGTAAAATTTTATAAAATTTTCAATAAGAAGTGCGAGGACTAGTTGTAAGTTGCTCTTTTCAGTGCCGTTGTAACTTCAAACAGTTGTTAAACGGATGATTGTAAACCAAGGACTATTTTGTTTCCTTGTTTTTCTGATATAAATAAATCCCATTCTTTTGTCAGTTTTTTAAAAAAAATATTTCCCTGAATTTCAGATATTTAATATTTAAACGCTTTCTCATAAACGTTGAACTTAAGGATATTTTTATACCAGTGGCAATACTGAACATTTTTTTAAAGTATGATGATTATGTTGTTAATAATTTGGTATTCTGGATATTCTTTTTTAACATGATTATAAATTCCTAGAACAGGAAATACTAACTTGTCACTCCAGGCACCATTCCATTCCACTTGACCCCATGGATTCCGAACTCGAATGAGCCTCACTGTCTGCCCTTGGTAGTTGACCTATTAAGAACCAAAGCAAGCCAAGCAGGGGAAAAAAAAAGTAAATTAGAACAATTCTCCATTTCAAAAAGATTGCACTTAATCTAAATAAGACCTACTAAAAACAGTACCATAATCTTATTGTGTCAATTCTTTTGCCTGTACTGAAAGTCAAATATACTTTTTATGTCACCACAGCCTCTGAATGGCATAGACCAGGGGTTCCCAATCCCTGGGCCATGGCCCACTACCAGTCCCTGGTCTATTCGGAACCGGGCCATGTGACAGGTGGGCCGGCATGCATGTGCATCTGCACGCAGCTTGACTCTCATGAGCGGTGGGCCGGCACGCACATGCATGCACACGCAGCTCAAGTTGCACAAGTGGTGGGCCGGTGCGCACACATGCCCGCACAGCTCAACTTGCAGTTGAGCTGCATGCACACCTATGCATGCGCCAGCCTGCCACTCACATGGCAGTTCCCCTTCCCCTCCCCCAGCCGGGCTGCCAAGCCACAAAGATTGGGGACCACTGGGGATAGGCAACCTTGGCTCTTTTATGACTCGTGGACTTCAACATGGCTGGCTCAGGAATTCTGGGAGTTTAAGTTTAAGTCCACGAGTCATAAAAGAGCCAAGGTTGCCTACCCCTGGCATAGACTGTAAACAGCTATGCACATTTCTATTATACAATTTGATGGACAATAACAATGAAATTAACTTCTGATTAGCATTGTCGCTTTTAATTCACCATTGAACTGTTTGACCTTTCGGGTGAACATTGTTAAATGAGCAGTAGAGAACCATAGGACATTTATGCATCTCCTCTCATATTAGTTGATTCCCACTTTAAAATAAATTAAGAAATGTGTGGGTGGAAAAAACAACAACAACGCAACTCACTCCATACTGCATACAGGCTTTGCTGGTATAGGCCTGGAGTAGAAGCTTGTCGCCATGTGTTTTCTAATAAATATGCTGCCACATCTGACCAGCGCAACAAAATGCCTTCTCTTCTAATACATCTGATGCTAAGAATGGAATTAGCAAGTGCATTCTGTTTTCAAACCTTGATTTTCTTTCCACTGAATTTGAGGTTGCGATAGCTGGGCTGCAAAAGGCAGCACCAGGGAGCAACAAGGTTTTCTGCATTACTTTGCTGCCATTTAGTGGTGGTGTGGGTTTCTACCGTTCAGATATGGTAGCTGGGATCTAACTGGGATTAGATTATTTTCTAGCCGTCCACTTTCTGCTGAGAAATATCATAATAAGAAGGTGGCTTACCTCATCAATATCAGTGACTGAGTATGCATGACCTTTTATGAGACCAGTTGGAGTTCGAGCTTCTGACTCTGCTGCATTGCTTATCTAAATAATGGATTTAAAAAAAAAAATCAACTTTTTTGCTATGTTGAAATCATGCTCATTTTTGTAAGTATATGCAGGAATGCGTGGCCCTTCTTAGAAATACGATAACCTCTGTTGCTAAAAGGACACTTAAAATATAATTATAGTGCCATGCTGTGCCCAAGTGAATACCCAGCATGGTACATACAGACTTCCACTTATCCCTTTTCTCATTTTTCCTGTAGCATTCCCATCCCCAAATTTGTTTCGCAAGATTCCCAATCCTCAGAGCAGGTTGCGAGGCTACAGAGGAAGCTGCAGAAGAGACTCCTAACGGAAAGGCCTTACTGCACACCATTTCTAATGCTTGGCTGTGAGAAATGAAAACTCCTGTTCCACTCTTCATCCATTGCTCCCTCCAAGCCTCACTTACTTCACAAAATCTGTGTAAGTTTCAAAGTTTTAGGGTGTGATTCTGAGTTCCTTGTAGGATGAGCGAGATATAACTTGCAGGTGTTATGAATCAATTTAGATGTGGATTGTATCAAGAATAGGAAATAGAAATGGTTGCAGTTCAATAATAAGGAGACAATAGGTGAAAGAGTCAAGAAATTGTCTCACAAAGCCATGGGTGCAATTCCCCCAGACTACCAAATGTGGTTATAATGAATCATGTGACAGAAAGGGGGGAGTGATTAAATTCTTGATTCCTGAGCACTCACATTATTGTACTTATCTGAAAGAAAGACAATGAACCTGAATGTAAGATTACTTATCCTCCCAGGATGATTAGACAGAAAAAACCCTCAGCTGCCTCCATTAATATTTTTTAGTGAATCTAAGATGACGTGTCTGCCTTAAAAATAGATTATTTGGGAAATAGCCTATTGTTATCTGAGGAAAATTCTATGGTTATTTTTAATTCACTGTAATGGCAAAGAGAATGAAAATGATTGACCCTGCTCACTACTTTGAGGGAACATGCTCCCTGATGTGCAACTCAAAGACCATATGTGACTCTTTATTAGAAAGCATGTGGAATACTGCTGTTACAAATGCTCATACAATAAGTCACACTAAAATAACTAGGATTTCCTACATGGTAGGGCACAGTGTGCGTTGTTTAAATTATTGACACTTTCACATTTAGATTCAGTTAATATTAGAAAAAAATAATAATGGAATGAACAAAACAGCCAGTGATCTGGCTAACATTTTGTCCTGAGTCTACATTGTCATAAAAACATTTTCTTCTTAGAATTATGTGGAAATTTGAGACTGACTTTTCAGCTTTCCTCCCAAGCAAAGCCTGTGAGAAATCAAGAGTTTCTGCCACTGGTTTCTTAAAATATCTGGAGCACAAGCAATATGGCCTCCAGGCTAAATTAAGTTCATGGCTTATCCAGTTCAGCTCAGAATCTGAACACTATTGGCAGGAGGGATTAACTGAATACAAGCTTCAGTTCCACGATTTAATAATAAGAGAAATCCTAGGAAAGATTCTCCAGAGGGATAGGGAAAAGGAGCTGAAACTTACATCATCATTATCCACTTGTTCTTTGTTTAACATTAGGGATGCCTAATGTTAAATGTTAGGATGCCCGTTTAGGAAAGGATGATTGCTGGCTGAGAATTTGGAAGAATCAAGTGGAGGCTGCTGTTTTTTATGAACTGGCCCTCAATTAATCAAAGACATCACATGCTTAAGTGAAAGTCCCATAACAGTATTCCAAACCACATTCCTACATATTAGGAACATTCCCCAATAATATACACCAGAAGCAGCCATCTGAAGCTCTTTACATGCTTTGAACTAAAATTTGTATTAAATATGACAGCTGGAATTGACTGGATCCAAAGCCACTTGAGGACACCGTATTCCTGTTCTGTGCCCTATTCCATGTCATATGTTCAGTTGCTTTGGGGCCTAATAACCTGAAGAAATATCCTGTCAGAACACTCAAACTCAGATTGATATTTCTACTTACATCGATAGAACAGCCCACCATTGAGCCTCTTTTAAGTGCCCTCTGTAAGAGTTCATAGAAATTTTTGGGAGCCTTTTTAACTTCAAATGTTTCTCCAACTCCTCCAGTGAAGTCTTCCATGGCTTCAATTGAACTTCCTCCTTTTAGAGCTTCATAACTTCCGTTCAATCTGAGATTGTCAAAGAAATATACATGCATAAAGACAACGAGGTCATGTCCATCTGACTTCAAATATATTCAAGTGCCATATGAAATTCCTGTTGTGGCTCACGACATGCAGAAACATCTATAGGACTTATGTGGCAAAATATCATCTACTTAAACCACTAGAAGAAAAGTATTGTAAATCAAATTCAAGATAAGCAAAACTCTTGTCATTTTGAGCAGCTTTTCCTATGACTTGTTTGGCTTCCCTTGAAATCTCTCAAATATTTTGGCTCTAACTTATTTCAGTAGATGAGAACTTTCAAACTTATTTGAAATTTCACTTTAGCCCACGACAAAAAAAGCAAGTTAAATTTAAAATTAAAAAATTAAAGTTAAATTTGGGCAGCATACAAAAGTAATGATAAACAAATAAACATGCAAACCTTGATCAACTCAGTCTACGATCAAAACACATATAATACAATATTTATAAAACTGGGATTGTAAATCCAAAGGTTATAAATCATGACAAATGAGGAAACAAAGGAGAAGATGAAGATCAAATAATCTGCGTACTTGGCGTAGGCTTTTTCCATCAATGCACTCCAGAATTCATTGAGGTCAGCTGAGTGCAGAAAAACCAAGCGGTCTCTGAAAGTGGGCAAGCGGTCATCGATAACAACATCCAGCCATTCATTGTACTGCCAAAACTATTTCGGTAAAGACAGATAGACAATCATTTAATAGTGGTAATAAACCAGGGAAAAAATGAAGTAGGACCAGAAAGTTCTAACATAGCTTTAGGCCCTGGAAGTGAAGGCTACAAGAAGCTTTTAATTTTATGGATGAGTTGGAACAGCACGGAGAAAGGACAGCAACACAAGCATCTCTCAGCTGCTGGTCTGAACATGGGGGGTGATTGAACTGAATCATTTCCTGCTAAAAGGAAAACAAAATCCATGGCCTCAATAGATACAAAGGCTTATGATGTAAAAACACGTTGCAAGATTTATGCTCTTGTAATTGCATGAAACAAAATTTTAAAAAGTGAAGGTGGTGACCATGGGTTCATTCCAGGAGAATGGTTCTAGTCCCCATCAGCCACGAAATCTCCATGGGCCATTTATTTTCTCTCAGCCTGACTGATCTCCCAGAATTGTTGCTGTAAGGAAAAATGGGAGGAGGGAACATTATGTAACACTACCCTGAGCTCTTGAAGGATAGGCAGGATATGAATCTAATAAATAATTAGGTACATTTCACTCTAGGCTTGATTTCTGATCTAGGTAGGCAACAAATATTGTCAAATAGTGAAGCTATTGCAATATAAATCTCAAAGAGTATTAAAGTTCTGACCTGTCAGAGATAATAAAATGGCAGGAAGTTCATGTTTCCCAGATGTGCCTGAATCACAGTTTCCAGCCACGTCAAGTAGAATTAAATATAATGGATGCCGACAGTTATAATTCAGTAACATCTGGACTTCCCAGTTCCCGGGATATTCAACATTCATTTATTCATTCATTCATGCAAGAATGTGTGGAGGGGTTACCTGGAAGTGAAATATTCCGGCATAACCTGGCCCAAAATCTTGATTTAGTGGCACAACTCTGGCTAGTACTTTTTCATTAAGGGTAAGAGATGCTATAGCAGCTAATAGCCAACAATCACCTGAAAAATTACATAGAACAATATACAGGTTATACTTTCGATCTAACATAACTAAGATATTTCCCACTGAACAATTCCTGCTGGTTTTGCTTGGAACTCCTAGCTGTAATTCCTAAAGGAAATCAACCCTGACTGCTGTTTGGAAGGACAGATACTGAAGCTGAAATTCCAATACTTTGGCCATCAAATGAGAAGTGGGGACTCATTGGAGAAGACCCTGATGTTGGGAAAGATTGAAGGCAAAAGGAGAAGGGGATGGCAGAAGAGGAGATGGTTAGACAGTGTCATTGACCCC